CTCTAAAAACGAAGAAAAAATTTTAAAGTCATATTCAATATGACAAGATAAATGACTTTGATATTTTAATTGAATTGAATTAAATAAGAATTGTGAAAAGCATTGAACATTAGTGGACATACATGTATTTGTTATATATATATCAGTTGAAAAATATTCAAATATTAAATGAATACTTTGCAAAGATTAAGAAGGTCAAAGATCATGTTATGTCATGAAGTAACCTTTCTTAGAGCTCAACATTAACGTTTGTCCGATTGTCCGTATCCAGTTCATTTTGCGATCGGGCAAGTTCATCTAGGCTTCTCCATATTACACTTGTCCGATCGGACAAATTACTTTTTAAACCATTATATGGAATATTATGAATGTGAATGCCTTTAGAAAAGCCCTATATAGAGACAATATCACTGTAAAATATTAGATCCCTCTTTGGTTATTATAGCACAACTTTGCGGGCATCACAAATATTAATAAATATATAAATAATTGTCACCAGATATAAGAAAATAATGAAATAGCAATGCACTTTCTGCTGTCTGTGAAGGTTTGCTTTGACTTTTTTTATTGATCTTTTTTAATATAGAATAGTCACCTATGCTTCATACATTGTATATTCTCATTTCTTGTGCTGCAAGAATTTTGTCTAATTCTAGTTTATATTAATTTTATATAATTTCAGTGTTTATTTTTTTCTCTTTCAGAGAACTGAAAGTTGAGAACTACTTGTTTCTCTAGATCTGCTTCTTCCAAAGAAATCTTCCTCAATGCAACCTTTTTAGTACATATACTTGACTTGTCCAAATTCTAGACAATATGAAACCAAGGTGGTCGTACCTTTACCTGAACAAAAAAAATATATATATCACAATTGAGACAGTCTTGTCCACAATTGAGTATGACAGGTATGCAATATGTATTCCGAAATCTATAAATCTTGCATTATATATTGAAAATGTGTAGGCTTTTTATGAACAGGTAACAATTATATAATATTGGACAGTACAGTATTGTAGCTTACATAATTTTGTTTAATAATATTTGAAGACAGGGGAGGATGAAGATTATCACTCACAGTTTATCATCAACGCCAACAAAAGATTTCTCTGGGGAATGGCCAGTTGCTTACCATATAACACCTCCTTGTTTACGATATATACATATATAATCATGTTATGTGATATATTTTATATGTATGTTTGCTTGTTTTACTGATGTCTGATTAGTTACAAACTGTGTTATTCCATAACTGTGAATTTATTAACAAATGTCAATACTCTACAGATTAAACCAAGAGGAATAACTCTTGTCTTTTTGACAGCAGCAACTAATTTGCTGCTTGTTTTACTGCGATAAATTGGATTTGTAGAAATGACTATGGATCAAGCAAGGAAGGAATGAAGGAATATTCAATGCTCTGTTGTTTGAAAGAATGAAGGGCATATTAAATACAAATAAATATAGGAATTGTGACTATGTGGTAGATTTGATTACATAAATTACCCAACTATTTGGTTCTTGTTTGAATTCGCAATTTCAGTCAGTTTGATTTGGTAACTCAGAGCAGAAACATGAATAATCATTTACTAGTATGTCTCTGCTCAGAAAGTGCATCGAGGAAATCTATATTTTTATCCAATCCTAACTTCTCTAATTTTGCCAGTAATGATTGAATCATGTTATACATGTAATATAATATGATAGTCCAAATCTGTATTCAAAATGTACTTCCTGTCAAAGAGACTGGGTATGAAGAGAAATGTCAGAAATCACTGTAATGGGAGTTGATTTTACATCCACGATTAAAAATGAACCAAGAAATAATAGAATTCAATAGTAGCTACCAAAGGGTACCAAGTGAAATTCCTTAGGAATTTAAATAAATAATCTTATTTACCAAATACTCACTGTAAATTCTACATGCTTTAAAAAAGTGTATCATTATGCATTATATGTAAATTGCAAAAATCACATCATCTTGACATCAAGGTTTTAAACTGATGAATTTCAACTCCTCCCCAAAGAATATACATGAAAAAAATATCTTGCATCAAAGTCTGTGTGGCTTGATTTTGTTCCCTTGCAAATAAAAATTTGAACTTCACATTACATGCCAGAAATACATTTCATTCACATATTAAATCTGTTTAAAAAATACATAGAATCTGTTTTAGAACAAATGTTAATGTGTAAACAGTTATAGAGTTAATTGTTGTTGTTGTGTTTTAATTTAATAAGATAGAAAGAGTGCTTATCAGTTTTCATAATCTGCTAGGAAGCTTTTTCTTTTTTTTTTAATTTGTAACGTTACATGTAAGTTTGTAACATGTTCAAACCTTTTGATTTACATGTCTGGTCTAAACTTTCATATAGAAAAATATATGAATATCTCAGTAAGTTAATTAGAAGGGGATCCCTGTAATCATCCAGTGGTTTAAAGTTCATTTAACAAGCTATGAGTTTTCATGCATGCAGTCACCATAGACCTAAAGCATGCCGGGAGGCACCGAAGAAATCTAAATGAAATTCAAATTTACCTAGAAGTTAAGTCACCCTCAAACTGGAAGTGTCAATTCGTAAGTAAATGAGAGCTCAGACGCACAATTCTTGGAATTCCGGTTTGATTTTTTTTTCTGTTTTAGGGGTTTGGTTACTTCAGCTTTTCAATGCTGCTTTAGATATCTTCACTTTTATTCTTTATTCTAAATTCACAGTTTTCTTTTAATTCCGAATAAATGAAACTTGTCTCAAAACTTCCGCAAATCATTGCATGTGTGGTGTTGAGTTTCTGTGTTCGAAATTGACCTGTGGTCGAAATTACCCCCATCGTCGCAAACCACTGCCAAAATGTACGATCCTCTCCCATATGCGGACTCCGGACCGTGGCTTGAGACGATGAAATATTTTTTTATACATCTGAATGGAAAAAAAAACAACAACAACACTTTAAACATTACTATAGCATTGTGGTTTCCTTGTACTTCGCTTGCATAATTCAATATGCTAGCAATATTAGAATTTTATTTTAAAAAGAGTGATAAAACATGATCATGAGTTTTGCTAGGTCTGTGGATGAACTGCTAAATTGCTTAATTAATTACGCATCAAAATTCAACTTTGTGTATAATTTTTAAAACAAAAACTCTTCAATGTCTTTAGAAACGCTGGCAAGTTCAAGTTCAGTTTTATTCACCCAAACCAAATATTGGTACATGGGGTATATCTGTAACATATACCCAAAAAACTGGTCAGAGGCACAAAAACTATACATATAAAATACAAAATATGGTATAAAATGAAAAAAGGAAAATAATAATAATAAAGATGGAAATATATTAAAGAGGACAGACAGCATGATAAACTCTCAAGATAAACATATTATACAATAATATCCCTGATTGCAACTAAAATACCACCAGATCTAGCATTGCATGGTCAAATGTTTTTAATATACGTAACGAATCCTGGTATACAAATATTTTCTGAAACGTCAGATTTGGTGTCAAAACTCAACAAAACTGTTGTCTTTAAAACGATGGCAAAACTCCTCAAAAACTGTTGTACTTAAAAACAGTGGCAAAACTCAACAAAAATAGTTGTCTTTATAAACAGTGACAAAACTCAGAAAAAAAACCTTGTCTTTAGAAATGCTGGCAAAACGCAACGAAAAAAAAAACTGTTGTCTTTAGAAACAGTAGCAAAACTCGTTTACACAGAAGAGCAGTTATATTTTAATGATGAACTTGTTGAAATATTGAAGTATACTTTTGAATAACGTTGAGGTTATTAATATTACAAAGAAACAATTATTAAATGAATTTCATGTAATTTCTAAGCAATACGAAATTCCAACTTTTCATCCATGTTTGGGGTTTTATAAGACTTGGATAAGCTCGAGTGTATCTGACATGGTATCGTTATGCCGGTGTTAGGGACACAACAAGGCATGTCATTTTCTGGTCTGAAGTAGAAGTCTCAATCCTGATTCTGAAATCTCTGCATTAAACGGGCATTGAAATTATTGATTTATGACCCTGATAAGATCTACTTGTATATAAAACAAATATATTAGGGAGTGTACAGGGTAATAGGAAGGAAGAAAGAGAGAAAGGGGTGTGTGAAAATAAAGGGTAAGAAAAGTGCTGAAGAGCCTCTGAGGGTAAGGGGGCAGAGGGGAGGAGGGTATTGTACTTCGTTTACCCAACCTCTGTACATGTAGTTGCAATATAAAGGTATACACGAATAGCCATGTAATCAAATTTTAATATTTCAAAGTTATCTTTATATGCTACAAGTACAATATGTGCACAAACCAACAAAGATACTGAAACTACAGGTAAAATATCATATAGTTATCCCTACCTAACAAGACAATATTCACATTTCCATTCAATTTGACCAAGAATGAAATGAAACATGGAGCACACACATCGCTAATCCTCTAGCTGTCACGGATTCTCATACTCTGAGAATCATCAACATTTCTTCAAGTAAAGTTTGACTTTACTAAAATGAAAAAATTAGAGGTATTCTGATGTGGGTTTTTTTTTTCATTAACAGAGAGGGTTAGGTTATTAAGATAAACTCTTTTTTTTTCATTAATTCATTCCTGTAAGAAATATGTTTTTTATCAGACCAAACTCTCTGCAACAATTTTCCCACATAAAGGTTAGCAACGGGTTGCAAAAGAGTAGCAATGAAATATTTAAGACGTTAATTGTTTTGGGATTTTTAAACAGCTAATTATCTATAAATTATAAATATATTTTAATGATAATGCATAAATGCAAGAACGGTTACTATGAAATGCAATGGAGTTCTTATAGCTACAGCAAATCTAATCCCTTACTACCCATTATATAACGATACAGTGTTGAAATCGTATAATGACGCACCTAATTGTGTGGTAATTATCACATTCAGCAACTAAATGCGACCAATAACTCGGCAGCATCGCCTGTATAAGATAGCGACACAATGCGGTTTCAAGTCATTTCACCATGAATACCTCCAGTAGCATGACAGTGTCTCATGATTCTGTGTACGGTTACGCAGAAAAAGCTAGTCTGACGATTCGGATACGGTTAGTTGTTATCCCAGTAATTTTTATTGTTGGCTTTTTAGGAAACACGCTCACTGCCTCTCTTTTCCTAGGAAAATCCCTGCGAGCGAAGTCCTGCAGCATCTATCTCGCTGTCAAGGCTATCTCCGACAACGGCTTCCTTGTTTCTCTTCTAGTGGCATGGCTTGACTTTGTGGATGTTCGAATCTTCCACACGCAAGTTGTATGTCACATGACTTTGTATCTTTCATACGTCTGTGGATTTGTGTCTGTCTGGTCCGTCGTATTGGTGACCATTGAAAACTACGTCAGAATATGTCGCCCTTCTGAAGTTCGATCACTATGTAGCCGCTATGTTGCCAAGCGGATAACAATTCTTGGAGTTGTGTTTGGCTGCATGTTGTACAATTATCCTCTCTGGACCATGGATATCTCCCCTCCGCAACCACACCAACAAAGGTTTTGTCACACTCTGCATAAGTTTGAACGCTTTGAAGTAGTTATGACGTACGTTGATACAGTTTTAACTCTTGTTATTCCCCTCATAATTATCATTATTCTCATCTGCATCATTGCTGTCAGCTTGGTAGATGCCTCCAAACGTCGGGATCGTCTTCGGAAGTCTTCGTCTTATTCCAGTGTAAATTCTACACAACCTAAAAATCGTTCTGCACCCACTTTACCACATTCCAAAGTCACAAAAATGTTGTTAAGTGTGTCGCTTGTCTTTGTCTGTCTGCATACTCCAAGTCATGCAATCAGAATGAAGGCGACATTGGAGAATTTATTGGGTCAAACAACTGTGACGTCACAGATGGACAGAGTGTTGCAACATTTCTTTTTGGTGCTATACTACCTAAACTTTTCTATATACTTTTTTATTTACATCATCTGTGGACAAAATTTCAGAAAAGTTCTGAAGAAGAAAATAAATCAGTGGTATGGAAGAAAGGAACATGTGACAAGAACTTCGGACTGCGTCCTGAATAATCGAACCGAGGACATCGAACTCGAGACATCGAAGAACACGTTAGATATGGACTAGAATTTATCAAAAGAAATATACTATTTATCCCCTCAAAACAGGGTTTGGTAGTTTTGTTGCAAGGACAAATGCTAAGTCTTTTTTTCTCTTTCTGGATATTGATATCCTTATTTGTGTAAAAACTCTTATTCTGCGAATCATGCTGTATTCGACACTTCCGGTCAGATCTACCCTCACTTCAACGAAATGAATGTGTACATATAGTATTTTATGATATTGTTTTAAAAAATGTTTTAAATGGAGAAAAATTGTCGGTTGTACAAATTAATTGTTTTATGATCATTAATAAAATGCATGAAGTACAATTTTTCATATTGTCGAACAACATTATCATCTGCAATGAATTAACAACGCTCCCTAACACCCTTAAAAATGGGATCAAGCTGTCAAAATCCAAATCCTGTTGGTAAATTTTTTTCCTTGAATATTTTTTATTTCAGTCCCTCTTTCCCGTATATCTCCCGTATATCTCGCGTGGTATTATATCTTAAGCATAATCATAGCTTTCTTGAATGTTACAGAAACTAATTTCATTCAAAAGTGAAAAAGAACTATTCCCCGGGGGGGGGGGGGTATTTGCATTTATATCCAACTTACTGAAATAGTGTATATTTGGATAGCCTCGCAAATATATACTGATTGATATCCCCAGTTTATCGCGTTTTTACCACTGTCCGAGTGGATAACACTCGTATTAAAAAGTTATAGCAAGGTAGAAAGGAGTCAGTATAACTAACCTTGTATCAAATCGCAGAATATGATAACTGCGAAAAATAACTAACTGACGTCACGTTTTTTACAGTTGCATAAAAATAACAGAAAGTATTTTTAATTTTGTTTTTACCTTCAAATAGAAAAAAAATCCGATTTTACGAGTACTTTTGTACTTTGGTTGTTAGATATATTCGCGAAAAGATATTGACCTAAATGGTGAAGGTGAAGGGACACAGCATAATCAGTCGTGGGTTTCTATATGATTTTTATAATTATGTAAGAATAGTGTTAATTGGATTAATTATAAATGGGTTAATATAATAGAAATAGATAAATATTCAGTCTCGTGATCATTAAATTACCAATAATTAAAGAGTATGGCATTCCTCCAGAAAAACTCGCAATTCAATTTCCAAAAATATGTACATTGTACCTTGTACACACAACTTATTTTTACATTCAATGGAAGAATTAAAGAGAGTGCAGCTTTATCTGGTTCTCATCAAACGATTTTAAGGAGGCTGGGGGTCAACAAATTAACCATCAGATATAACTTATTTTTTTAGATATGATATCTTAAGCTGTCAACTATCATTTGGCAAAGAAAAAATTCATACATTTTGGTATTAAAATTTGATAATTTTTGTATATCTTTATATGGAGCTCTTCTTCTAAAGGAGATCAATATAGTCTAAAAATGGCCACGACCACCCAGCCCTCTTAAAAAGGTTTCATTAATTAAAAATGCCAATTCCTTCTAAGTATTGGTCTGATTTTAACAAAAAGTCTGGAAACCAAATAAACTGAATTAAAATAAAATATAAAAAAAACAAGCATAAATAAAATGCTAAATCATCTAATAATGTAACTTCCTCTACAGTTCTGTTGATTAGAATACACTGTAAAAAATGTGTTTACAATTCAAACACTTTTCTAAACACTTTCTTGTCACCTCCTTTTTTATATGTTTAATTTCTAAACATGTAAAATTCCTAAACATGTCTTAGAAAGTGTTTAGAATTTAAACACTTGTGTGCTTAGAAATTAAACATATCTAAACACATAAACACAAGTGTTTAAATTCTAAACACATAACAGCAGATGTGTTTAATATCTAAACACATTATAAGTATAATTTGTACCTGCAGAAAAACAAAACACTCTAGTAAATTTAGGCACAAAAAGTATATGTTTTTTAAATGAGCATAATTGTCAAAATTTTCAAAATATGTAGTCCAATATTAATTATTTTCCATAAAGCCACTGAACGTTGGGATATGTGATTAATTATACAATACATTGGACACTGTGCAATGTACATGCACTTAATTTACACAAATAATGTAGGAGACAGAACTGAATAGATTTGATTAGTATCAACAATTCAATCAGAATGACACATAATTTATAACGTACACATAGATAACAAACTTTTAATCCTCAAAATTACTAAGAAAATAATATTAAAATGACAATTTAATATCAAAACTTCATTGAATATTTCTGAAAGGCTTTATTAAAGAATATTTAAATTAAAAATACAAAATATTTATTTTATATATATATATATATATATATTTATTTATTTATTTATTTATTTATTTATTATAATCATTATAATTTGAATCGGCTGCAGAGTTTTCCTCATGTCAATCACAAAAATATCAAATTTTATTAACTTTCAGCAAATCCCAAAGCACAATATATTATAATCTACATCCCATCAATAACTGCCAGAAAGTAATCCACGAGGATAATTGTAAACACTGTCGAATTAACTCAGTAGTCTTCAACAAATGAAGTTTCAAAGTGTTGATTATGGAACAACAAAATTGCACTTGAAGATGACACCAGGTACTCTGATACGTGTATTTTGAGTTCAATCTGGACTATGTACAGTGCCTGTAGGAAAGAAAGCCTGATTTTAGAATAAGCACACTATCACTGATATTTTACATTACTTAGAAAAACGAAATTGTTCAAGTTTTAGTGAAACTATACTGATATAAATATAGATGTTTTTAATGACATTGAATATTATTTCCTCTCCTACAAGTCTATTAACGAATTCAAGATATCCCAAGTCAACTTTATTTACCAGTTATTTACTGTTTACACTGCTCATCGTGCTCATTAATTCAAAGAAAAAGAAAACAAACCTTTAATGTATTGCAGTAGCAAGATACCCTTTCACGTATTTCACTATTTCGTCATGGTTATCCCTTGAACTGGGTTATCATAACTCTCATTGATACATCACCTTAGCTTGTTGTGTTTTCTTTGTTTAGATAGCCGCTCAAATTAACGTTCAAATATATGTGTGTCATTTCCGGGAAGATAACTCTGCACTTTACAGTAAAACGTGTTTAATTTCTAAACGCGTTTAGATATAAAACATGTTAAGACATAAGTGTTTAGTTTTTAAACACAGTACTATACATGTTTAGATCTAAACATGTAACAGAAGTGTTTATTTCCTAAACACAATTTTTACAGTGTAGACGTGGTACACATGAAAATCTTATCAAGATCAGCCAAAGTTATATTTAAAATTCGGAAACATCTGAGATTTTTCAAAAAACTTATTAATAATATCATTTTTTAATACAATGTATTATTCTGTTGTTGGTTCAAACGGGGGAGTAATGCTTACGTTTCAAGAGAATTTCAAAAAGAATTGTTACGAGTGCATATGAACGGACCAATCTATTTTTTAAAATTTACGAGATCGCCTACATTCTCATTAGAGGCTTACATGTAAATACAGTTGACGTGTTGAGTTCTGTATATGGAAATTAAATGAAATCTAAATTAACACATTTAACAATTTTAGCTTATTGTTCCCAATTTTTGATTAAATCAGTTTGACCTTATTCAATTTCATGTTTAATTGCTGTTTAAATCTACCCAAACAAATTTACACCTACCCACCATATTATATTAAAAACGTTATATAACCTATTGACGCATCATTCCAACCTGCCCAGGCCTGTAGCAGCGGTTTCAAAAAGGGGAAGGGGGGGGGGGCAAATTCTCAAAAAAATCTGACTAGCAAAAAATAAATGAATAAAAATAAAAAAATAAACTCACCAGACTAAAAGATCGGGGGGACTTAATTAAATAATCTGAGAAGCCAAAAAACCCTAATTAACCGTCCAAATCCTGGAATTTGCCTGTGTTCGACCTTACAGAAACAAAAAGTGGGGGGGGCACCATTTAAAGGAAAATTTACTAAAGCAAATTACTAACCCCCTGCCCCTCCCCGCGTTCTACAAATACTCAGACGGACGGAAACCTAGACAGGCAGGGGGACTGACAGCTAGACAGACGGACGGACGGACAGACAGACAGATAGATAGATAGATAGATAGATAGATAGATAGATAGATAGATACATGTATTTGGGATTTGTTAAAAGAGGAATTTGCCATTATACTCATATGGGAGCATGGGGTTTCATTTTGTTACCACATTGCACATAGTACCTCTAGTTTAACCCTTAATTAAGAAATCTGCTTTTCTCCCATTCAAGCGAATGTCGTTTCATCAGTAATTAACTTTTTTTTAGGTTATATATTTTCTTAAGAATACATTGTCTTAAAATTCAAAGAGGAAATGTCGATTTTTGTATTCCACTGATAATCTGATTCTCATCAAATGAAGAAGAGTCATTTTTATTTAGCAATCCGTAATTAATGCCAAAACCCAATTTCTTTGCTGTCGTTGAATATTCAGAGTTCAAGTCTAAATTGCCAACAATCATATAAGCTTTTTTGTTTTTATTGTTTAGGTATTTGTATAGGGTGTCCATGCAGAGTCCGTGGGTTTGTCTTTTTTCAGAATCTTTCTTATACAGTTTTTGCCCGATTTTTTTAAAAAAAAAGATAGATACGTAGAATGCACAGAGAAATACAGTATATATATATATATATATATATATATATATATATATATATATATATATATATATATATATATATATATATATATATATATATATATATATATATATATATATATATATATATATATATATATATATATATATAACGATTTTAAAAAGGTTTAATTAATTAAAAATGCTAATTCCTTCTAAGTATTGGTCTGATTTTTACAAAAAGTCTCTGGATACCAAATAAATTGAATTAAAATAAAATATTAAAAAACCCACACATAAATAAAATGCTAAAAATCTAAAAATGTTACTTCCTTTAAAGTTCTGTCGATTGGAATAGACGTGGTACACATGGAAACCTTATCAAGATCAGCCAAAGTTATATTTAAAA